AATCTGAATCAATAAATCCAAGTTGATCTAAGATGACAAGTCTTATAATAACCAAATATCGAACCAAATAACAATGGAAGAAATTGATTTTAAACATTGACGAAGCAACTTTGAAATTTTAACAAATAACTTGGTATAATAACCCTTACAATTGATTTGTGATTTGTTTCTTTCTTCTTGTTTTTCTTTAACTCTTGAGTAGACAAATTGTATAGAATACAACTTTACTCTTTTTTTTTTCTTTATCACATATCCTAAAATACTAATAATAGTAAAGAATATGAGAAGAAATCAAGAAACATAGAAAACTGATCCAAAATAATAATAAAATGGATAGAAAAAAGAGATTAGATGCAAACATAAACTAAACAATATCAAATTAGAAAGGATATAACCTAATTTTTAGAGTCAAAATTTACTACCAACCAATACGAATCTTATGGATATAAAAATATAGAAACTTATAGTGAGATTAACCCTTCTTAAAATAACTAAATTTAGTTTTATAATTGAACTTAACACAACAATAATTTATATTAAAGCACCAATACATTTAAAGTGGTTATCCTAAGCAATTGTTATTTTTCAAGCTTCCTTTGTCCCATCAAGTAGGAGAAGATCACCTCTTATCTCAGTAATGAATCTTCTTCTTTTTTTTTTTTGGAGTTTTAATAGTAAAGGTATCATTAGATCATTTCTTGTTATGAATAGAAACTTTTTTTTTTTGTAGATGGAGTTTTAAACAAATTTAGACTTGATCTAGTTTGGGGCAAGTCATTCACATATGGTGCGTGTAATGTATTAAAAAAATATTTCTTTTTAACTTTTATCAAAATTCAAAATTTAAATAATGATGTAGAGAACAAACCCCTTTGTTAATAAAAAACAAGTCTCCAAAAATATCCTCCGCCATCCTTTGCTAAGTTGCTACGTAACTAGCTTGCAAGGAAACGTTAATTTCTTTTACTTGATATTTTGTGTTTAATATGCCTAATAAGGCTGAAATCATCAACTTGTGAATCATTACATATAAAATAAAATAAATAGTGTTAAGAAATATAAAGTAATAACGTCTTTAATTTTTTATTAAAATTTAATCTATATATAATTTCTTTGTATTTAGGTTAAGCTAATCTTTTTTGTGTAATTTATTATATAGTATCAATAAAACTCTAGTGTCCTCTATTTATTTATTTTTAGATTATTTAACAAGTGCATATATAAAATCATAAATTTCCAAAACAAATATTTGATTGACATATATCTTCTTACATTTTTCGCAACTATTACTCTTAATAAATTCTATCACATCCTTAATAAATTAAACCATCTTAATCCTTGCTCTAAGAGCTCATGTTTTGGGTATTCATTACTTTCCAATTCATCGTTGTAGTCATAAATTAAAACAAGATGTATATCCTTTTCTTTTACAATGACGGCCATCGATTCATATAAATAATTCTCTTAAACTCTTGCTAGTAGATTGTATTCATATCTTACACTGAAAGGAATTTGATTTAAAAATTGCTTTCTTTGAATAATTCATGTGCAAAAATATATTCCAAAATCACGAAATTAATTAAAACAAGCATAACAAGAATGTAGGAAGTGATGAATACGAAGATGAAAAACCAGATGTCATTGAGTATGCTGTATGCATCTCTTAATCTTGATCACAATGTGTCTTGAAAAAACACATTTGCCTGCACCAACCACTGCCTCCCTTGAATGAAGGGCTCCACTGTAAATTTTGCTGCCTCATCGGATGTAATATTGGGCAGAACACCAAGCCATCCTGCTCTTTTATCTGTCGCTGACCCAGGCCCAAAATTTTGATACTCAGCATAAAATGTAGTGTTGGGTGGGTCCGTTTCTGGCTTCCAAGGGATCCATCCTAAGGGGTCCAGGAAATCTCCAATGTATGATTGCATGATTACGGTGGTTGCATGATCCCTCCAAGGCCTGCCAAGAAATGTGGGAACCGTCAGATTGTCAAACGGGTTCATCTGACATTGGTGGATGGAGATGCCAGTATTTTGATTTGGGTCAGTCCTACTTTGGGCAGTGATGGTGTTGTTTTGCTTTTCCATGGGCTGTCTTGGCTGTATGGTACAGTTTTGGAAGATTGCAGCAGCATTGCCAAAAATGAAATCAATGGTGCCTATAATCTGGCACTCTCGATAGAATTGACGATTGGAATGCGTGTAGAGAGTGTCTTGATATGCATCGAAGGAGCAGCGATGAAAGATTGATTGGTCTGATGATGAGCGTAAGGCTACTGCTTGTTCTTTTTGCGGTCCTGCTGTGTTCTTGAAGCCCATGTCTTTTGCAATGAATCCCCTCCCCTCAGCAACTATATGTTCATCAGAAAAACAGAACGTAGAAAAAATTAAAGATCAGATTAAAGTCGAAATTTAAAAATGGAGAGAAGTTCTTTATTCAATTCAAAAGGAACTTACTTAAGGTACCAGATAAGAAGGTGGTAACGCCATCGACATTATTTAAGCTGCCAGAGATTATGGTCTTGTTCATTCCATCACCATACATCATGACATTCCACTGTTGCTTTTCTATCTTCACATTCTCTACGTAAATACCCTCCTTTACGTATATGACAAATCTTGATTTGCTATTCTTGGGGATGGAATCCACTGCCTCTCTTATAGTCTTGAAGGCCCCACTACCATCCTTCGCTACTGTTAGATTCGGTTCAGGATTTTCCTGCTGTAGCAATCTCCTGTCACTTTTGTTGACCCACGAAGGGAAGCCCATGTCAAGGTCATGATCAAGTGTTAAGAGTTTGCGATGAATTGGGATGCCTAATTGATCAAGTATTTTCACTATATTGGACGCAATTGCCAAGCTGTTGCTAGTGAACTCAGTGGAATTGGTCATAGCATATCTCACCACATCAGTTAAGATCAAGTGCTTGGCGGTGTCTTGCAGCCCAGCAATGCATGTATCTTGATCCGTGATTGCTGTGCTTAGCCGAGTTCTGATATCGTTGATTTTAGAGGTCAAGAACACGGTCTTGTCTCCTTGGCCAACTTGTATGGATGACATGGATTCATTGACCTGATCAATGGCGTCCAGAAAGAGAATCTCACATGCATGCAATGCAGATTGTACAAGGGAATCACTGGTCTCATTCTTAAAACTATTTGACGACATGATCCATCGAGGCAAGGAAGAAAGTTTTGTGAGCTCAATGAGTGAAACTTGGAGAGACAACAAGAATAAAGTTCTAGGATCTGGGTTTGGATTGGTCTCAATAGAGGAGGCTTTAAGGGATGAAGACATGCTTGAATAGCATGAATCAGGGTATCTTGTCGCATTACACATGGCTCTGATGGACTGAGCTTCGCTTGTTTGAGATGAAGGGTTTTTGCCATTGGATTTGTTGTCCTTTGACACAGGAATCCCTACTAATGCACCAATGATGATTGTTACCAAAACCACGGCAGAGACAACAATGACTATGAGACGTTTCCGGGCCTTCCTGCGAAATGCTTGCTCTGCTTGCTCGTCTACTTTGCTATGGCTAGTGAAACTGCGACCTAGATCCATTACTTTTTTAATAAAATTCCTACATGAAATCGCATTACTCTTTGAAGCTCAGGATTTTATAATAATAGTGGCTTCATAGTGTCAACCGAGCACTGCAAATTTTGGAGCATGTGCAAATATTCTTGCAAGTAGACAAAGCATTATAGGGTCGGCATTGGGCAAACCAGACAATTTTTTCTTTTTCTTTTTTATTGGGCAAACCAGACAATTTTTTCTTTTTTTTAATTTTCTCTCTGTTTGAAGACAATGTCACGGTTACATGGCATGAGCTATGGAGACAAAAAGGACTAGGACTTGGTCCCTAGTCAGATGCAGCTTCCATTTGTCTGAATTTGAAAATTTCCACAATATAGCCGGCCGTACCCAAGACAACTTACAATCTGCTCATAATTTCACCATGCGTTAATGCTGTTCTTTCTTTTTCTTGAATATACAATGCCAATTTTAAGATATTACATCCATAAATAGCAATCTTCTCAATAAGTAAATACAATGCCAATTTTATGGATGTAATATCGTAAAAGGACTAGGACTCGGTTCCTTGTTTTTTCAATAACATGAGAAGCATCCTAAGCCATCCTATATTGTCACTTCTCTTGCAGAAGTACATGATATCACTATCTGTAAGAAGATATCACGAAACTACTCTATTATTACTTGAAATTTAAAACAGGATATTGAGATGGAAACAGCAGTTATCACATAAGTAAGTTTGCGCTTGCTGCAAAGGTTCATATTTCTCTCTTCTCGAGCCGATGAAAAGAGAAACTATCAAAATATTAGTGAAAGGACTCATTTTTTTTCACTGTAAACACGGACCTAGAACACCGTAAATTACTACAGTATATTGATTTTTTTTTACAAAAAAAGTTATCGAATTAATTAGTGAGGATAGTACGATATTTTCTCTAAGTTAATTAGTTATTGCCGTATTATGTGGAGACAAATTAGTTTTTTATAATTTTAAAATAACTAAATTATTCTTTAAAAAAAATAAATGGACGTTCAAAGGTTTTTTTTATATTTTCTTCATGATTTTTTTAGTTATAATCAAATTAATTAGAAAAAAATTAATATTTTAATAAATATAAAATATAATTAAAAAAACAAAAGTAAATAACCTCCGTTCCGTCTTCTTCAAACAGTTAGTGAGATATCTTTTTCTGGATATTAGAAGTTAACTTCCATGGTGTCATAAGAATCGGCTTATCGAGAACTTCTAAGTAAAACCTATAATAGTAATAATCTAACATTCATTTTGGTCCACTTGATGATATTCTATTTAAACAAATTTCTTAAAAAAAATTGTCGTATAATTTAATTGATTGAAGAAACAAAATAACAAAAACCAAATAATTAAATAGCAATATTCGTGTCCACGTCAAATCTTCAGGCTTTTTTAGCCACTCTTCATGGAATACAGTTTTGCCATACACAGAAAAATGGACCTTCAGTTAAAACAAACTAATAGAGTAAGGTTTAATGGAGCTTAATTTACTCTATTACAAGCCAAGGCGAACAGGGGAGCCTGTAGCGCTAATCCAATCCTCTTGATAGAAAGTCTCAACGGTAAATTTCATGGCCTCTTCTTTCTTAATGATATGATAGCCACGCCACTTGATCCTAGCATTTGTTTGGGCACCAATTCCTTTATTGTTGTACTCTGCATAATAAAGAGTTTTGAGCCCGAAGTCTCCTTGCCATGGTAGCCATCCATCAGGGTGAATAAAATCACCAATTGTTGATTCCATGATAATAGTTCTTGAAAATTCTTTCCAGGGCCTTCCAAGGTAACTCCTGATCTTGGTCTTCACAGGAACCAAGTCCTTGTCTGGCTCGATGCGACAATTTTGAAGAACAATTCCTGTAGTTTCATGTCTGTCGATCCTACCCTGGGCTGTAACAATATTTTGTTGGTTTTCCAATGGTTTCCTGACAGTAATAAGACAGTTCTGGAAGATAGCAGCCGCATCCCCAAAGATGAAATCAACAGTCCCGGTAATGACACAGCTTCTGTAGAATTGGCGGTGAGTTTGTGCATACAAAGTATCTTGGTATCCTTCAAAACGACAGTTGAGGAATATTGCACGATCAGCTTGGACCCTGATGGCCACAGCCTGATGTTTCTCTGGACCTGCTGTGTTTCTGAATCCCATAGCTTTGCACAAAAATCCTTCTCCTAACACCGCTGCAGAACATATATCTCACGTTATAATCCTGGTCTCGGAGAAAGGAAGGTGGAATAGAGTTTATTAAGCTTCCAAAATTTCATTCCAATCTTTATGCCATCCTAGCTGCTAATAAGAATGAAGAGTTAAGGCGTATCCCCAATGATGGCAAAATTAGATACTCGTCAATTCTAAGTTTCTAACTAGCAATTTGATCTACTATGATGAATTCAGATTGTATGCTAAACCACATAATATGACAGAAAGTAGTTGTCAGGGACATAGCGTCAAAGGGATCATCAATGTACCAAAAGTTGCAGTTCTGAAAGTCTGAACTCCATCAGCAAAATTTTTGTTCCCTGTCACAATGGTCTTTTGTGATCCATCACCATACATGGTGATATTTACCATCTTCTTCGTCACTGTCACGGTCTCATCGTAAATTCCTTGTTTAACGAAGATAACATACCTGCGTTGCCATTAGAAATGAAGAAAACTTGTAAAATATAAGCAACTTCTCACTTGAACTAACATGACGGATTGTCAATTAACGTAGTAGTTTCATACACCAACGTTGTAAAAATTGCTTACCGTCCTTCGTATTTTGCGGGCATGGCTGCCAATGCTTCAGAAATAGTTTTGAAGTCTCCACTACCATCTTTTGCCACAGTAACATGTGGTTTTGGCTTGTCTTGATTAGCACCCTTCAAGATCCTCCGATCCTCATGACTCGTCCATCCAGGAAGGCCATCCTTGTCCAGTGAGGGTGAATTGTATTCGTCAGCCAGAAGGCGACGGTTAAGTGTTCCGGAAAAGGAGAAGTTTTTCAGGAATGAAGCCAATGATGAGACCATTGCAAGGGAATTGCTGGTAAGCTCTCTGGCTGGCTTGAAGGTCTTTTCCATGTCAGATTTCAATTTCCCTTCGGGGAATCCATCAATGCAAGTTTGTTGGTAAGACATGACCGCACTCAGCCAATTGTTCAAGTCCGGGGCATTTTTAGTCAGCTTTCCTATATCATTACCAACACGGTCAATACAGTGTTTCAATTCTTCTTTTGCATCCTTAATGAGTTCTAGACAATCATCAAATGCCGCTTTCTCCCGTGGCTTGTCGAATTTGAACGAGGAGGCTTTCTTTAAAACCTTCTCTATCTCTTTATCGGCTGCTTTGATTGCTATCTTGAGAAGATCCTTGGGTTGAACTGAAGAAGGGTCCTTTCCCACCCCCTTCTCGAGAGTGTTTTGGCATGTATCCTGATAAGTGGTAGCATTACATACAGTCTTGATAACCCTTGCAACATGCGAAGTCGGTTTTGCGGATTCTACAGGCTGAGATACAGTTGATGATGATCCTCCATTGCTTCCTGGGCTGCTAATATTCTGATTAGAAACAAGGGCAAAAACTCCAGCACCAACTATAACAAAGAAGGCAATGCTTGAAACCGAACCAATGATAATTTTCTTTCTGAGTTTTTGCTGCCTTTCTAATCTTCTTCGCTCTGATAGTTGATCAAAATCTTGGAAAACCATTTTGACGATGATATGTTTTGAGGCAGGGCCTCTCTGCCTTAGAATTCAGCCAAGGCAGAGAGATGCAAGAGATGAGGAGTGTGTTATTGCTATTTTGTGAACTTGCCTCAATATCCTTGGTTGTGAAACTGCAGATTATTATTGCTATGCAAATGACAGAAGGGATCTGGCCAGGAGAGTTTTAAGGTAAATCTATTCAAGACTTGGTTAATTAAGGGCTTTGCAAAAACGGGTGACAGAGATTTTGTCCCTTGTTACCGCAATTCCCTGTAATTCTGTGGCCTTCAAACCTCTCTCTCCTAGTTTGCGATTGCAAGGCAGCGATAATTTCAGTAACTTCTCTTCTGTATATGATCCAGCAGGGGCTTGATTATGCAGGACGAGCTTCTATTATTGTTATGATTAATGGAACTTCTCTGCTATATATTATTTTCAGATTCCCTTAGTCAGGAGATCAGTTAAGCTAGCGAAGTGGCGAATGTCCAACATGACCATGACTCTCAGTTTGGTGCCACTTTTCTTAATTTCTAATAAATGAAAAATAATCAAATATTTCCTTATTAATTTATGCTGGTGTGAATATTATTGATTTACTATTTTTAATTTTTAAAGATAACTGCTTGTTTGCTATACATAGAAAAAGCTCCTCTTTTTTTCTAATTTTATTTTGAAAAAAAGTGTAGTTTTTTTTTTTTTACTTCATCGATGAAAGATAAAATTATTAAAATTATTGATTTATTGATAAAATACTTTACTTCATCGATGAAAGATAAAATTATTGATTTATTGATAAAATATATTCAGTTATATATATGTATAGTTATATATATGTATATGTATATGTATAAGAATTGTTTTTCAATTTGGTTTTTTCATGAAAGTTTTGATTTTATATGTTTGATATTTTATATAATCTTTACCTAACATTTATCTATTTTCTAATGCTCTGCTTTTAATTCTGAAAATAAAATTAAAAATACAAAAAAATAAAAAATATTCGAATGTAAATTAATATAAAAAATAACAAAATGTTCTTAATCTTTTTTTTTATTTTTTATTTTTTATCTTTTTAAAAAATATTAAAAAAATTATCTGAATAAAAAATTTCAAAATTAATTTCTAAAAATATTTGGAGTATAATGAATATGGGAGCACCAACCACCGAGAGTCGTCCAGGGCAAGAAAAGACTTAATTTTTTAGCTTTCTTCCCTGATTTTGCAAGTTCAATAGAAGAGTCAAATATAGAGTCAAAATAATTTTTTTATCAAAGAAAAATCATTCCTATATATATCTATCAAGAATTCCAAAACATTAAAATAAATTATTTAAAAATTTATTGTTTCTTTCCATTAGAGTACATGTAAAAAAAAATATTTACATTATTTAAAAAATCATATCTCTAAATAACTTTTGCTGGCTATAAAATCCTCCTTGTCAATTTATAATCCTGACTCGCTTTATGTACCTCAGGTATGGGATTCAAAGAACTAGGATAAGCATCTAATGGGATTCCAAGATCAGAAATCAAATGTTGCTTAAAGCCCTCATGAAGACCAGACTTACCTTTCTGTCGTAGGACATGGTAGGAAAGATGCAATCTTTACGAGTGTCTCCGGTGGCTTTTTGACATGGTAACTCAAGCCTGCTTTCACAAATACTTTCTGTTCAGACCCATTTGTAGAGGTGATGTCAAACAATGTTTTCCTGTTCTGTCAATTGAGCTTTTCCATCAATTTCGATCTCCCTAGCTTCTTTTTCAGAATTCCTGCGCTCCTCTTTGATATCTAATGCTTGACGTTCTTGCCCACATTTTCTATTCATTTCATCTTTATGCCTATCATCATTTTCATCTTATTGTGTCATAACCTATTTTTTGATTACTTTCCAAATTTATTTCTCTTCCTTTCAAAAAAAAAAAAACACGAAACAGTGTTGTTTTGAATAGCATTGTACATCTTCTTCTTTCACTGCACGTGGAGAAGTAAGGAAAAAAGAGATTTTTCCCTCGTACTTTTTCTCTCTCTCTTCCTCCCCACCTGCCCAAACACCGACAAAACCCAACACAACCCATACCCACCATACCCTGTCAACATGACGAAGGAAAGAGAGGGGAACCATGCCCTGGGGTGGCTGCACAAAGGCCGCTCCATGCCACCTTACCCTACCCTTGGACATGGTAGGGTGGCTCCCTCTCCCCTGCCCTTTTAATTGACAGAAGTTAGGGACAATTTGGAGGGGGGACAGGAGGATTGTTTTGGGAACAAGAGAGATTGATGGAGGTTTTTTTAAAGAGAAAAAAAAAAGGAGAGAGAGACAGAAACGAGAGGGGAGAGGACATTGTTTTGGAGTTGTTGAAAGAATGGGGGGAAAAAAGAGATAAAAGGGAGAGAAAAAAAGACGAAGTGTAGAGGGGACTTTGGGGAGAAAATTTTGAGGGGACAATATAAAGGCTTTTCTAGAGATAAAGATTTTGGGAAAGAGCTGAAAAAACAGAGAAAGATGAGATTTTAGAGAGAGGAAGAAAAGAAAGAAAAAACATAAAAAGATAAACGAGAAAAAGAAAAGAAAAACAGAGAAAAGAGATAAAGAGAGAGAGAACGAAGGAGATTGAATGAAAAAGGAAGGAACAGATAAAGAGAGAAAAACAAAGAAACTGAAAAGAAGGAAAAAAGAAAAGGAAACAGAGGAAGAACACATATTAATCAGCCATCGTTCTTCTTTTCATCAACGCAAACCACTGTCGTTCTGCCACTATCGCTACCAGCATCAGCACCATGAGACACTGCTTGGTCTGTCTTCCCCTGCCCTTCTCCTCCTTCTTCTACTTCATCCCCTAATAGACCCACTATTCCTAGGCTAGGTTCGGCCCAATTTTCCTAAAGAAAAGTCTGTTCGGCTGAAATCATCCCAATTAGGATATTGGCCTAGTGCTTTTTTGAGCTGACCTTGGCCTAGTTTCTTTTGGGCCAAATGTCAGCCCAACTAGGATGGGCTCAACCCATATAATTGAGTCAGGCCCATCCCAGTATATTAATATAATAATATTATATAGTATAATATTATATATTAATAAAAAACCAAAAAAATCCAAAATTTCTTTTTAAAAAATTGTGATTTTCCTGTGTATTGTCCTATCATTTTGTATTTTGTATTTTTATACTATTAAGATACATATCTAGTATTCAAATATTTGATTTTCTTTGAGATGCTGCAAAAAAAATTATATAGAAAAAACAAAAAAAATATTATTGTTTTCTTGCATACAATCAAGTCTTTTAAAAATATAAAAAATTTCATATCATATTTTCATACCAAAAAAAATTCAAAAAATATATTTTATCATGCATTTTGAACTTTAATAATCAATTTATTAAGGCCATAAGAACTAGGCCAATATTTAAAAAATATCAAAAAAATATTTTGTTTTCTTTTAATATTTATGATTATGAACTTATATATAAGACATATTCCTAATATTAAAAAAGTAGTTCTTTTATTGATTTTAGAGTGGTTAGGTTTTATCCAATAAAATAAGAATCTACTTACCGATGAGAACGTTTTTTAAACCTTAAACAGACCAATAAATTAGAAATACAATAACACCTTAATATATATGAGACAATTAAACAATGCATTTTGCCTTAAGTAAAGCGTATTTAGGGTATTAATACATTTCATTTACGCAACTAGTCCCCATACTCAATCTTTGAGACCAATTAGGGTTTTTGATGACTAAAATACTAGGTAGTGACTTCTATTTTCTCTTTTCACTATTAAAAGACAAGAATTTCTTGTTTTCTTTATTTTTCCAATTACATGGATAAATACCAAGAGTAGATGATCGTCGTGACACCGCATACATGTGACAATTTATTTGACATGTCCTTCATATTCTTCTTATAATTATCCCGTGACTAATGTTGTTGTTGTTGTTGAATTTATCATTTCATCACTTCCATAGTTACAGGGCATTGATGTAGTCGTGTTTTGGCATTGGCAACCTCCTCGACCTGAATGCTTTTTTGCCTTATTATTGGTGAGAGTTTAATAGGAGACATGTAATAATAATTTAATTATTTATATAAATTTCTTCATAATCTTCTTGTAAAAACTATAAATTAATAATTTTTATAATTTACCATGATAAAAATTAACACAAGCTATTTCATCTTGAGCATCAAACCACCACCCTTAAGCACCGTAATTAAGTTTGTGCATGGAAAACTATACTTTCTAATTATCAAGAATCTTGTTCAAATAAAGCAAGCTTCTAGCATTAACAATCATCTAACAAATCTCTTCTATGAAAAAAATCTCATAGAAAGGGAATATAATTGAATCATAGAAGGCATTCACACAAAGGTTGCTTTGAATTGAGTTTTCAGTGCAATCGTTTGTTGTAAATACCATTTTCCATCCATATAGTTATGATACCTATATGAATTTGCAAGAATAGTTTTGATGTCTGATTCGCCTTAAGTAAGTCTTTGAGCATATCTCTCTTCTCGTCACAATCTATGTTTACACCTTCTCATCATAATTATAGTGCCCAAAGAGTCTCTACTTCTACATCGCGAGATGAGAAGATATTGTGATATCTATGTTTACTAGAAAGGCAAACCTATTGCGATAGCAATTGATGCCATGAATATTAAGATAAAGAGGTTTAATAATTCTTAAAAACCCTATAAAAAAGAAACATGTCCAAAGTTTGGAGGAAACTCTTAAAATCCTCAATTCTTATTTATTAGAAATCTTTTTATAAAATGCCATTACAATGCTTTATATAGAAAAGCTAAAAAATCATAATAATATATTTCTTTTAAAGAGAAAAACCTGAGAAGTCTAATAATACTTAATAGAAAAGAATTAGAGTCATAAAATTATTACTACTTTTTTAATGAACTGATTGCCTAAAACAAGACTAAGAAATCCTAGAAGAAAATCTTACAAATTAAATAAATAGTATAATAAAAATAATTTAGTTTATAAAAAAATAAATTGAGTTCCATGTCACATAATGTGACACGTCATTCTCTTATATTAAAGGATTCGAATGTATACTAGAGCTTTATTATATTT